AGACGCGATAGAAGGTACTTCAAGGGAAGCATCTCTTGTATGCAAGTGTACGGAGTGGCTTTATCCAGACGGGAAATCTTGAGGAAGAAGCGGCGATGCTTCAGAAAAGGTAAATGAAACGATCTTTGGTAACAAAGACGATCGTGATTTTTGCGTAGTTAGTCACTCTTGGGTTGAATTGATTTAAGTGTGTGTTCTTTTTTGCGGTTTTATGACAGAATTGATTTCTGTTCTTAATTTTTTTTTGGTAATAAGGATACTTATAACGTGTCTTGTTTCAAAATAGTATATGACTTGTAATTGTGACATTTTTTCTTTCAGTCCCTCCACCAGGTCCTCGACCACCAGGTAGGTGTTAGTTGTTAGTCCATCGTACACTGTTATTGTATGCTGAATCTTGTTAACAACAACAGCAAAAACTTTTATGTTATATAATAAGATTTTCTCTTTATAGCTGACCATTTCTTGTCTAATGTAATGTTTTAGTTCATTTGATGATTTCTTATCTAACAATATGACAATAATTTTCACTGTAGTGTGTAGAGCTCAAATTGACCTAGCATTCTTGATCGATGGATCTGGCAGTATTGAGCATTATGGAAGAGGAAACTTCAGACGTTGTCTTAACTTCGTGAAGAACATGGTYAGGGCCTTCAGGATTTCGCCACGATATACTCGTGTTGCAGTTTTTCTGTTTTCATCGAGAACTCGACAAGTGTTTTCCTTTAGAAGTTATCGTACCAAGGCACAAGTGTTGAGACGAATCGACCAAATCAAATATCCACGAGGTGGTACTAGAACAGGCTATGCTCTCAACTTCGTCCGCAGATTTATACCTAGAAGTACTCGTCGCGGGAAAGTTTTGATAGTGATGACGGACGGAAGGTCTTCTGATGGAGTAAAAGGTCCTGCGGACGCTTTAAAGAGAAAGGGTGTTAAGATATTTGCGTTTGGAATAGGGCGAAAATACATGACACGTCAGCTCTTCCAGATAGCATCAAGCCGAAGGCACGTGTTTACAGCAGGATTCAGGGTTTTGACCACAGTTATTGGTGCTATACAGAAATTGGCTTGTTCAGGTATATATTCCGCTTCTAAATTGAATTTTTAAGTTTCTTAATCTTCCTTTTAAGCGTTTGTTTTTCTGTTTAGGAGGCAAACCTACAAAGCCATCAAGAAAACCAGGTTAGTTATTTAGGAGATATTGGCTGATCAACAACTGTAGTCAGTTATGTGCATACATATGTTTCTCGGCATGTCGTTCGTGGTGATATCTTATTTACATCATTATATTATTTACTTTAGCTGGTGCAATATTCCCATTGAACGACAAAACGCGCGGAGGTGATGTTGGTTTACTTGGAAATCCCTCTGGTCGCGTGTCACGTGTCAGATACATCAAAGGTCCTGATGGTGTCCCAGGCACTGCAACGTACTTCTATGGACGCCCTAACAGCTACATTCAATTTCCTAACAGA